AAAGAAAGATGTACTCTTAGTGCCTGCCTTTTAAAATATTATGCTACATGACCAGAACTTTTGATTGATCTCACTGAAATATTGAAATATTTGTAAAGTTAAATGATTTTTCAAGCAGCAATTGGTGACATTATTCACTGAGGCAGGTGAAATTTGCACCCAGCGACTGTATATCATAACTTCTGTTTATGGCCATTTCTTCAGCCTCCTTTCCATCGTTTCCACAAGCTGAAATATCAGAAATTGAGATTGGTTTTTCATAAATTTTTTTAATCAGCATTTTTAAACTGCCTTGTGTGATTATTTTTCTCCTCTGGCTGTTTTCAAATTGGTTTTCAGCAGCGAGATTTTTTAGTTCCAGAATTTCATCGGGTATACAATCAGGCTAACAGGTAAATAATTCTCGGGCCTATTCTATTTTCTGTATCATGTTAATGTTTTAATCTGTTCAGTCCTCAGACCTTCCATGCAGTAGAGGTCCCTTCTAATGTACAGCTGTTGAACAGAAAGAATAGCGTCAAAATGAGAGCATAAAAATTTAGAGGGATGGTTTGTATAAAACTCTAATTGGCACTTTATATGACATTTTAAAGGCATTAAGTATTTCAAAGTCATTAAGAAAACTGTTATTATTGTACAAGTCATTTAAAAAGAATGAATTTACCCACCAGGCTGTTAACTCTTCAGTATGAATTTCTTTTGAAGAGTGAATAATTCATAGTAACGTTCTCATCCTTTCATGCTGTAATTAGAAATAATATCTGAAAATTTGCAAATACTCTTTATAAATAGAACAGGGTTTGACATCAGCATTTTCACGATGCATTTCCTTTTTTGATACTTGTTTTTTTTTTTTTAGTGTTTATTTATTTTTGATAGAGACAGAGACAGAGTGTGAGCGGGGGAGGTACAGAGAAAGCAAGAGACACAGAATCCGAAGCAGTATCCAGGTTCCGAGATGTCAGTGCAGAGCCTGATACAGGGCTCAAACCCATAAACTGTGAGATCATGACCTGGGTTGAAGTCAGATGCTCAACTGACTAAGCCACCCAGGTGCCCCCTCCTTTTTTTGATTTATAAAGGGAAAAATGAATGAACTTCTTCATTTTACAGGGCAGTCTGAAATCCTCACAAGTATTACATTCTATCAGTGTTTTGTTTCTTACAAATACATTTCCACTGAGTTGCAGCATTGTTTGTTCCTCATTTCATTTCAAATACTACTCTGCTCCAGATTCATCAGCTGCTAATTGAGCAATCAACATATCACAGATGTGATGGGTACAGAGATGCATACAAGAAAAGATCAAACCAGGAGGCTGCCAATTTATGGCTGGACTTTCACCTGCTTGCTTTTAATAATGCTTGAATATAGAACCTAATTTATAGGCTTGGTGTGAATATTATTAAACCTTCCTTACTGTTCCCTTGTGCTTTGAATGTTCACTGACCTGTGAAGATAGCTGAGTGGATAAATAAACTTATACTTAGACCTGGCAAATCAGAAGGCTATTAGAAATAGAGCCTATCTTGATGAAAAAACCCCCAACTTTATATTACATGATATATTGATTTATTTTTTTTTGCTAAGAAGAGAGAAATATAAAAAGAATGCATAAACTGACTTTGACTTTTTTCTTTTTATGAATTAAAAGTGGTGGAGCCATTAACATCCATCTTCACCTGCCTCCTTTTCCATCCTTAATTTCATATTCCTTGGTGGTTCCCTGAGTTAAATTCTCCTTTAGCCTCTAAGGGCAGATGAGAGATGAGAGAAGGAGAGGCACCAAGGGGGCATCAGGGCAGAAGGGTAGACTGAGAAGGAACAAGGCTGAGATATCAGTCCTGCATCCGCTTTACTCTGTGTGTCCTTTTATCTAGAATTTCCCTAAAGAGAGTTTACAGCTATGTTCAGTGGTGCCACAAGCGGGGCAATGCTTGAGACAATGAGAAGCCACAGATGATCTTGTGAAACCAAGTCCTGTAGAGGAACGCGGACATAATTCAGACATCTGCTGGCTGAGCAGTGAAGAGGGGGTGTAGGAGCAGGAAGCAATGAAGGTAGGGTGGTCTGTCCAGAAGCGTGGCCACCTCTGCTGGATAGGGACCTCCTCCAGCTCCTCACCAGGGAGCCTCCCAGCGTTGTGTAGTGACAATCTGAACCAACTCACGCACAAACAGACTTCCCCTATTTTTCCTTCCTTCAACACCCAACATAGAACACATCTGACGCTTGATGAATGAACTGAGTGAATGCTTCTCGACCAAGTGAAAGAAAGACTTATGCTAAGGAAGAAAATAGATTTTTTACAAAGAATCTAGTGGCGAACATGAAAAGAAACTCAAGTTTCTATTTTGAAGATCAGTTTGAAGATTATACCAAGAATCCATTCAATTCTGAGAATTAGGCAGTCAGAAAGAAACACAATAATGATAATGCTGATAACAACAGCTTTGTGTTGGCATAAAGCTTGATGGCTCATGAAGCATTTTTTTTTAAGAGTCATTGTCTTTTACTTTATGAAAAAGTGCAACATGGGACATTGAGGGAAGAACTGTAATCTAAAGAATACTCAAGGTGACACTTGAAATTACAATGCTGCAAAAGTTCTTAAAATAGATTTCTAGGGGCGACTGGGTGCCTTAGCTGCTGAAGCATTTCACTCCTGGTTTTGGCTCACGTCATGATCTCATGGTTCATGGGATGAAGCCCCACATTGGGCTCTGCACTGACAGTGCACTGCCTGCTTGGGAGTCTCTCTAGCCCTCTCCCTCTGCCCCTCCCTCACTCACATGCATGCTCTCTCTTTCTCTCTGTCTCTCCAAAAATAAATATTTCTAAAAAGTAGATTTCTAATCATATTGACTCATGATGTTATGTGGTTAAAAAGAAAGATTGAATTAACACCCAGTAGTGGCCCTGGGATCAGAATATATAAGAGAAGCATGGCGTGAAATCATTTTATTCAACACAAATCCATATTACTCTGAGCTTTATACAGCTCAGTGTTAGCATTCTAGGTTCCTGATTTAAAGCTGGAAAGCAGAAATGTGAAGAAGAATTCAGAGAAGAGATAAAAAGAGTATTAAAGAATAAATAGGGCCTACAGTGAAATATTCAAAGAACTCGACATTTCCTAAATCCTTATTCATTGTTTCAGAATTCACGATGAGTCACAAAATGTAGCTGCATGGGGGAAGGGCTCACTCCTATAATTTCAATTACAATGATCTTATAACAGAAATATTCAAACTTCGCTGTTGGATCTTCACTGAATGTTCTTTGGTGTACCTAGTTCAGCTTCCTTGGGGGAAGAGCATTCTTCCAAAATTGTGTGGTGGATAATGACGGACTTTCTGCAGCTAGGATATAATGAAAAGAAAATATGCCATCCCATTTAGACTAAGTAAGCAACGGAGAAGTTAGTTTAAACAGAGGTTGTCAGAGTGGGGTATGGAATCTAATTCTCTGGAGAGTTTTAAAAATAGGCCAGGCACTCATCTCTCTGGGATGGTTTCAGCCTGCAGGGGAGCTGAAGGGCAGCCACGGCCTCTCATGTTCCCTTTCACCTCTATGAGTCTATAGGGTAAAACAATATCTGAGGAGGCCTCATGGGCAGGGTGAGCTCGCAGTAACTCAGGCTCATTTCTAACCAGAGCGCTTTCTCACCCCATGGAATGATAAGTAAGGGTGGGGTCAGAGGGTTCCCTGAACCACTCTGTTGGCATTATGAGACAGGTCTCTCCGTCTACCAGCACCGATGGCTGAGGAGCACAAAGGATACCAGTTAGTATTGAATGATAGTGCTTTGTTGGATTTCATTTGTCCCACTTGTGTGTGTGTGTGTGTGTGTGTGTGTGTATGTAAAAAGACAGTCAGAACAACTAATTGGCAAGGAAATTCGGTTAAAAATCTTGAAAACATATGTGGAGAGAACCTTCATCTTCTAGTGGGGTTAGCCTCTAATGTCAAGCATTTGATTCTGACATTAGATCATAACATTTGGCATTGACATTTTCCTGGGCCTGAGGTCTATCCAGGATTGTTGTCTGTTGCTAGCAGATGGAAATTTTCTTCTTAGAAAATGAGCTCTGTTCCAGTCCCTTACAGCTACTGGGTAATGGCCGGCTTCTCGCAAAGAGCCGAAGAGACAGCAAAGCTGACAGGCACAGTCAGAGTGAGCTTTAAATATCATGCACCCCATCATTTGGTGGGTGGGTGTTGTTGCTAACTGTGTTTCCACTTCAACAAAGAAAGTGGTGAGTTGCCAAAAAACAAGGATGTTCCATCTTAAGGACTGCGTTGAATTCTTTCCAGAGAAGCAGGTTTTTTTTTTTAAAAAGATGGATTTTATCCTAAAATATTTCCAAATTTATTTAGGCATTCTATCCAAGGAAAATAACTTAAGTATTGTGCCATGTAACTACAATCTGTAGAATTAGAACAACTTTCTCTCACCGAAGCTCTATTCATCAGTAGTCTCTGACAGCCTGTGTGGGGTGGGGTAAGGGCCAAGGTCACAATTATGCAGGCTGGCCAATGATACACGGGACCTAGCAAATTTACAAACAGGTGGTAAAAATGTGATTTTTTAAAATTGTTCTTTCCTCTTTGCCTCCTACAATTACTACTTTTCTGAAAGGTCAGTTTTGTTTTCTTTAGGAAAGAAAGAGCCTTTCCTTCATTTCCCAAATACTATGTTGATGCCCTTCCTTAGAAGTCTTCCTCTTAATTAAGTTGGCCCGAAGGTCATAAACCATAATCAATATGGAGGCTGGTTGCTGCAAGGTGCTAATTGACATCCCCAAAGAGGAACTGTGTCAACAATCGATAGAGAAGAACAGAGTACTGGTAGATTTATGGCTTTGATTTTGAAAAGGTATGGGAATGCCCTGTGATGTTTTCCCCTATACTCCTTTTGAATGTTAATGCATTCTTGAAGATGATTTCAGACACACTGCTAGGATACTGCCTCTACTCACTGAAGCAGAATCCTCAGAAGAGTTGCTGAGGCAGAACTGAAATCATGGCTCGCCACAAAGAAGCAGCCGTATTGGCCGCTAATGATGCCTCACACAGAAAGACGATGCTCCTTTAACTCGGGGGTTTTAATGGGAAGTTTCTAAGCCTGAAACAACAGCTTTAGAGCTGGGGTGCCATCAGCTGCTTGCAGCTACCACTGTCTACTGCTTCAACACAGCTTGACTGGGAAGAATGGAAACTAAAGAGGCTTGTAACTACCTGTAACTGTTCCACCAGGAAATGGATCAAGTGTTTGTTCAGCCAGATCCAGGTACTTGACCAACACTGTGTCTTTGATGGGCTAATTAATGCTTTTCTCTAACTTTACGATTCATGCATGAGCAATAATCACATAGATGCCTTTGGATCCAAGTTCTGAATTTAGATCTAGATGTCAGATAAAGACTAATTAAATAGTTGCTGGGTAAAGTTACTACGAGGGGGGTGAAATGTAATGATGCCTTTATTTTTAAAGCATGCTAAAGTTTATGATGCTACTGATACTGGATAAAAGAGTAGTAAAATAGGTTTTTTTCTTTGCTAAGCTGCAGTAAATTATTCTCAAAAGCTATTTGCCCATTACGGCATTTTTTTTCCATTCACCTAAAACGTCCAACCTTCCAAAATGTAACAGGGATATTTTAATTTGTTCACAAAGAATCACAACTCAACAACTTGTAATGATGCTGCTGACCGTCCCTGGTTTCCCTGCATGGTGAGCCCGGTGCGGCCCCAGCCTTTTGAGGTATCAGCAAGCACCTTTTTGCATGAGGAAACACACAAGGAAAGAGAAAGAAAACGATATGACAGTAAGGTTTATCATATGAGGTTAAAAGTTCCAGTTTGCTACTGGTGCCTTTTGGTACCCCCCAGATACTGACTGGGCACTCACATGGGATTTTTCTCAGCAAGGCTGCAGCCTTGCCCTGCAGTCCCTTTAAAACTCTTCTAGCAGATGTTAGGAGGCAGATGAAGACAGGGAAGGAGTAAACCTGGGGGCAGGGCTCAGGCTGAAGAGAAAGCTCTTGTTCTGACCCAGAGCTGGCGAGCTGGGAACAACAGGGTCCACTCCCAAACCCAAGCAGACATCTGCAGGCTGACTTTGCAGTGACAGTCAGAGGGAACAGACCTCTCATTGCAGCAGTGGGGGCTGGTGACAGTTCCAAAACTGCCTGTTGACAGTTGTAGCTGACCACATTCACATGTATTTAAAGTCACTGTTTCAGGGCTTTCTAGTAGCCTTGGGTCTATTTGTTCAGTGTGTAAAATAATATCTGTCCTTAGTCATGCTGTGAATTCTGACACATCAGTGCTATTGTACTGGATCAAGAAGTCTGTATTCAGAAAAGAAAAATATGGAGGTTGCTATATACTTATGTGAGCCAGTAAAAGGGGGGGGGGTAGTGCATGTTGGTTAAAATACATGAAGTACCTAGAAGGAGCCAGGAAATCTTTACCTGAGTTTATTTCTGGGCTGGTCACCAAGAGGGCCATGAGTTCTCTGAATTTATAGGAAATGTTTTGCATCCTGTGTGTATATCCTGGAATGCAAATTACTGTTCACTGGGGCTCATACACAGAATTTCCACAAGATTCATAGGTAATAACTTTTGTTTATGTAGTGATTTGATTACTTAGATGATGAGGTGCCTTTTGTGGAGGGCTCACAGTTAGCTGTAGGGGAAGATAGATAATAGGGCTGCCTGGGATGTTTACACGTCCAGGGTGGGTGGGTTGGGACAGAGGGTGGAGTCTATCTCCAGAGGCTCTAGTTATGCAAATAGCAGTGCAGCTGAGGTTTTGTTTAGCTCAAAAAAGTAGAGGTGCTTCTATTCAGCCTCAGTCTCAGGATATGTATCACGTTAATCATCCAAAAGCATGTTAACATTTCCACAGTCAGTTTCAGAACTGTTGCAGAATAATGCAGCACTTTGAGGAAGTTTGTGTCGGCTGGTCATTGCGAATTCCGTCCTGCCTACCCAGCCAATTCCCTTCCTGTTACAGCCTACAGACTGGTGCCACTAGTCTGCCAGATAAACAGAAATAAGGTGCACAGGATGTCTTTGTGTGCACGAAGTGTCCTGTCCGTTACATGTGAACATAAACTGTACAAACCCTTGAGTGTTCTGGCTCCACAGACATACTGTTTGTACATCTACTTTTGGAAAACATGTGGAGTCACTCAACCAGGTTTCTGGCTTAGAAGTTCTAAAAATCAGGTGCGGTGCCTCTGTGGTTTAGAGGTACTGGAAAAACACAGACACTGTGGCTTACCTGCAGCCTGCACACCATTAGCAGCTGGAGGATGACCGACTTTCTACCCATTCTGACATGCCGGAGAGAAACTTGCGAGTCAGCATCCTTTGAGAGATGCTTCTCCTCTGGTAACTGATTTTTATGATTTGGGGCAGTTTACTTATAATCTCTGTTCCCTGGTGTGCTTGTTTGCATAATAGAAATTAGAAATAAACCTCATTTTGTGCAAAAAAGAAACGGCATAAAGAGAAAACAGTATTCATCATCACGTATTTGTTGAACGCTTGCTAAGAGCCGAGCAGGACTCCACATGCCATGCATCTATTATAGCTGTTATCGTTTGCAGCCCATTGTGGGAGAGGGGCTTTGGGAATGGATCACCACAAAAGTGAGATGGTGGGATCAAATGGTCCACAGAGTAAGGTGCCAAATGCGCTTAACTAATTCTGTTGCTGTAACTTTAAAAATAAGAAAGGAAACATATCATTGCTTTAAGGTCTATTTTCTCCAGATGGAATATTATTCCTTACTGTTAAATCACATCATGCGAGGCTAATAACACGAAATGTCCAAGGGATCCAACCTTGAGAGAGGGTCATGTTAACATTCATAGTTTCCAGGTAGGACATCGGGATTCAGGATGTTTTAAATGGCTATTCTTCCCCACCAAGGCCAATTAGCTAAGAAAGGTTTAAGCCCTGAAATGGAAAGGCAAGTGCTAATTTTTTGTTTGAGGAGATCCTGTCCATCAGCACTGAAACCAAGGAAGATGTACGAAGCCAAATAACTGCTTTTCAGATCATAAAATCTGAGACTGATAAAGTGTCATCGTGACCCAGACTATCTATCTATATTCTTTGAAATCAGATCTGTTGCAAACACAATGGTCTGACATCCCAGTCTGGCTGGATGACATGTGCTTTCTTACCCCTTTTTGTATCAGCTGGCACCTCCAAGTTTGAATTCAGTTCCTTGGATGGTGAGGAGCCAGATATTTGACTCAAATTGTGTTTAAAAAGGCAGTGACCCCAGCAGCAAGGGAATCCTCAAGGAGCTTGCTGTTTTCCAAGGAGACAGAGTTGAACGCCATGGAGACTTCTCCTGTGAGAGGTGCTGCCCCAGGATGCAGGTGCGGTGCTCAGGGGGACGGAGCAGGAAGTACCCTGGCCACTCTGGGGAAGGGAGAAACGCAGGCCCCACCAAGGAGGTGGTATTTGGTGCGATCCCTGAGGGAGGGAGCGAAACCCACAGGCACGAATAGAGCGAGGAGGAGGGCATCAGGCAGAGAGCATCATGACTAAAAGCTCAGAGGTGGGAAACCTGGAGGAGTTCAAAGAACAGCCTGTGTTGGTTGGAGCTGCAGAGCAGACCAAGTGAGAACAGTCTCCTCAGGTGTCTACACATTCAATCGCACGTAAGTTTGTGCCTCTTGGTCATTTGACTCTGGACCAAATGCAATTTGATGTTTGTTCTTTTTGAAACTTATTATGGAAATGAATTCATGTCTTACAAAACTTCCATTGGCAGAACAGGACCTGAAATCTGTAGTACCTAGAAAACAGGGGTATCAGATCTGTAAGGGGGTTAATAGGCAGTTACGGTCCTTGGACATAGGAACCCAAGGGTTTTTCAAGGGAAGAAGTGTTGAGAACTGAGCTGAGAAAGATGAATCTTGACGCAGTATGTCGGAAGCATGAGGAAAGAAGGAGAGGCCTCTTTGCAAATTATTATAAGTAAGGCGAGTGGCTATTAATGATAATGACGAAGGCTAAGATGAACTGCTCATTCCGTGGCATCATAAGTAATGCAGGAATTTTAAACTTTGTGACAATCACAGTGTCCAGGGAGTGTGACTTAAGAAAAGGGATGTGTTATATGATTTTTGAGAATGGCTTCTTTTAATTAAGTCTTTCTTGGTCCAGTGTTAAAATTTGACTTTACTGTGTCCTGAATACACATGAGTGGGGCTGCAAAGAGAGGACGTGGATGTGCCGTGGACGGGGGATGCCAGTTAGGATGAAAACACTGCCATGAGTCACCGTGATCCTTCTTGTACTTAAAACAACCACCTTTTGTTATTGTTAGCACTTAGGACGGTTGTATCAGAATCCTTTGCAATAATTTACTTGCCCAGATTTCTCTATGCAACGAAAGGCAGATTTCATTATTCAGGTAAAAGCACTTGTGAATATTTTCTAAGGATCATTTTTTTTTTTTTTTTGCCAATAAGGGACATTTCACTCTAAGGCAGGCGTTTTAAAAGATTTTGATGTCTTTGAATATTTTTTTGCTGTGGCAGTCAAGTGATTGCATTTATTGCTTTTTCTGCATCTTACTCTATACGCTGCTTCCTTTCACTTAAATGTGCCGTTGAGCTTTCCGAATTCGTAAATTATTGATTAGCTGATTGCGGGTTTAAAATCAAGCAGGCTCTACCACGGATTTCAATCTGTCCCAAGCAAGGCTGTACAAGATCTGGCTTTTCTTCCTGGATCTCTGTATCCACCTCACTATTCCCTGATAAACTATCTCCAGATTATCTCATCTAAAGCCGCCATTCCCCAACCCTACCTAGGACTTTCCTCTGGGCCACCTGTCCCAGCACTTCATGTCTGCTGCCCCCAACCCAAGTGGCCCCTCACTTCCAGCAAGACCCTTCAGTCTCCTTTCTGTCTACATTTCCCCTCCTTCAAGTAAGGGCAGTTTTCCTAGACAAATTGCTCCTAACGTGTTCATGTGTCATTCTCCTTGGTAAAATATTGCAGTTTAATAAGAGGCTTTGATGACTTGGCCAAATGAAGTTATTTTAAAAGGAACTGGGTTACCACAGTATGGGAGGGGAGAGGCTTGCAATTTATAAAGGGCTGTGGAGTTTTCGAAATGCTTTCATCTCTGCTTTCTCATCAATTTGGTTTATCAGCAAGGGGTTGGTGATGAAGGGATTGGAGGATATATATAGTGGACTATATATATATATATATAGGCAGGCTTTTCAAAACCATGTGATGAGGCTATAGAGAGGGTTAACCATATCCTTGCATCTGCCTTTAATAAGCATAGGGTGGTAACACTGCGAATTAAAACTGATTTTTAGATGATTCTAAGAGTTGGCTTCCCTGGGAAGAAGCCTGGCTCCAGACTCATCGACAGGGAGATGGAAGAGGGAAATGTAGCTGATAATGTGAATCAGGATGACTAGGTAACTTTCTGGGGCTTCTTGGAATGATTGCCTGTCACTGCAGCCCCCAAATGAATAGTGGACCAGCTCAAAAGCCTGAGTTAGTGGGTAAGCCTAGGAAGGATGAGATGGTGAGCTAGGAGAAAAGAAGTTGGAATTTTGCTTTGTGCAAAAGACAAGGCTGGGGAAGACGGGTCCTGGGCATCAAGGTGGCTCCCTCATCAAGTGGACACTGGAGGTGAGAAGGGAAGGTCTGACTAAGGTATTGCTATATTAGGCCCTCGACTTCTGGTGAGCGGGTCATCACAGGCTCAAATGGTCATATGTCTAGTTCTTCACTGTTTTCCGATCCAGAAATCTTCATGTTGTATGTATACACAGTTAATGGCCTTCACTTCTCCTGTATTTCCTTTCTGGGTTACATAATGTTTTCATAAAGAACTTCCTGAAAATGCATACCTACCTCAGCCATGTTAAGAACAGATAAAGAAAACAACTCTGGCTTCATTCGGGCTGGAAGGAAAATGGACATAGAGTGGGATCCCAGTAAGTGAGGAGGGCAGGGTGAAAGTGAGGGGGTACTCCGTAGGACATGGAAAGACAAGAGGGATGATGGGAGGGATGGCTTAGACATTTCTTCCTCTATCAGCATGTGACTTTCTTTTGACCCAGCCCTTGGTGATTTACTTTTAATTTTTAATTTTCATTTTTTAGAAAGAGAGAGAGACAGAGAGAGAGAGCAAGCACAAGCAGGGGAAGGGCAGAGGAAAAAGAGAGAGAATTTTAAGCAGGCTCCATGCCTAGCACAGAGCCTGATGTGGAGCTCAATCCCATGACCCCAGGATCATGACCTGAGCCGAAATCAAGAGTCGGACCCTCAACAGACTGAACCACACAGGTGCTCCCCCCCTTGGTGAATTTTATACTTGGAATAAACAAGTCTAGTTTGGATATTTCCTAGGAATGTAGATGGCCTGTTAGTGGAAGCACTAAGGATTGCCATCTAGGAAGCTCTAGCTACCCTTTCCTGCCCTCTCCCCTCAGCCCAGTTATCTGCCTAGAATTAACATCCAATATTGGGAGGGTGCCTAAAAGCAAGCAAACCAAACCAAACCCAATCCATCAACATCCTCTATATCCCTAAAGAGCTTATTTTTAAGAAATACAGTCAAATTTTATCATAATCTTACTTCAAAATAAAAATGAATGCTAAACAAATCTATTGCAACGACTCCAGCCTTAAAAAAATCTAGTTATAGAATTGCAAAATATTTTCCCCTCCTAACTGGTAACTCCTTCCTCCCAGACACTGGTTGTAAATCTCTTTATAAACTGTGTCTTAAACTGTGATTTTATAAACTTTGAAGTGTCATCATACAGGCAAACCGTTATTATGATTACTAATGTACCAATTATAACTGTAGAAATATTGTATTCAAGCTTTAGGTCATCATTTCTATTTTCAGTTTGGTTGCTTATTTTCCTTGAATATCATTTATTTTAAGCCCATGTTAATTCCCATAGCTGACTATTGTGCAGTGCAATTTTTCTTATAACAGACTCATACATAGATTTAGTTCAGAATATCTGAAGTTTTTATGGTCTTTGTGGATTCTCCAACTTGCTTTTATTTTTTAATTAAAAAGTTGTTAATTGTTTGTTTTTGAGAGAGAGAGAGAGAGAGTGTGTGCACGTGAGCATGAGCGAGGGAAGGGGCAGAGAGGGGGGAGACGCAGAATGTGAAGCAGGCTCCAGGCTCTGAGCTGTCAGCACAAAGCCTGATGTGGGGCTTGAACCCACCAACCATGGGATCATGACCTGAGCTAAAGTCAGATGCTTAACTGACTGAGCCACCCAAGCGTCCCCTCCAATTTGCCTTTAAAAACAAACAGTAATGTCCATATATCTTAATTTATCCACCAGTAAAATGGAAATAGTGATAACTTATCTTTCCCCTTCTCTTCCTCTTTTTCAAGTGGTCTTACACAGTAGGAAGCTACTGTAAACCTTTTTCGAAAATGCAGCCAATCAATCCCTTTTCCCTAGCTCATTTCTCGAGGTGCTTCTCAGGGTCAAGTATTGAACCTGGTCTTTGTTTTGCAATGAAAAAAAGACAAGCAGCAGGAGCTTGATGGTCTGGGAGTTTGAGATGCCTCCTTTCTCCCTTGGCCCAGGCAACAGCAAGGAAAGAAGCATCCTGGCTTCTACAGGCAGCTTTTAAGTGAAGTGACTCTTGGTTTTGTTGGTGTCTCTTCTTTGTATACTTTTCAGAGTATTTTCACAGACATTCATCCTCATTATAGCACCAGGAGATACACAGGCATTTCTGATTCCATTTTTACAGCTTAGTGACTGTAAGGTCTCACACTTATGTATCAGTAGAATGGAGGCCAGAGGCTGGAGCCCACAACTTGATACTCCCTGGGAGTTTTTATATTAAGCACATTTTCCAGCCTCAGTTTCCCCCCATCGAGGCTATAGAGGTCTTGGCTTTCTCACAGTTTGTAGTAGAGTGGCTAACCTGCGTTGTGTTTAGTTAGAGTCCTGGCACATAGCTGGTGTTCCATCAATGGTATGGGATTTCACAACAAAGAATGTTGTGAAAGTCATATTATTGGAGGGAGTCTAGAAGGGACTTGGCAGGGGACACGGGATGTCAAGTTGGCAGCACACCCTGAGGTCAGCATTACGTTGCCCGTTTCTCATCTTCTGTACTCTGGTTGTCTTCCCCGCCTATTCCTCCTGGCTCCAGGTGGCTGCTCTGAGGACAATCTGGTAATTTCATGCAAGAGTAAAACATTCTTTGCTGCAATTACAGAGAATTTAGCATCTCTGGTGAAAAAGTTTACAGATTGCTGCTTCTCTCTGCAAAACATGACTGTGAGCTCAGAAATAAAGTTCCTCTTTGGTAGTTTATCCCCTCTCCTTTCCCTTTCTTTCTTCTTGCAGATAACTCAGCCTCTCCAAGGTGCAGCAGCCATCATGATCTCAGCAGACTGATGATGGAAGAAAAGGAAACTGGGAGATCCTGTGCTCTAGCTTTCCTGGACGATGGATGGAGGACAGCCCGTCCCTTCACCCCTAGTGCCCCTTGAGAACGCCTCGTCAGATTCTAGCATGTCTCTGGAACAGAAAACCACGTTTGTTTTTGTGATTTTGTTATTCATTTTCTTGGGCATCCTTATTGTCAGGTGCTTCCGGATTCTTCTGGACCCGTATAGGAGCATGCCGACCTCAACTTGGGCTGATGGACTTGAAGGGCTGGAGAAGGGGCAGTTTGACCATGCCCTTGCTTAGTGGAGGGGAGCAGGATCCCCTCCTGAGGAGGTGAAGTGCATCATGACTTGGCAAAGAATTCTCTTTAGTCAATGTTCTAAGCACACCAAGTTTCAATGACACCTGGTCGTAGGCCCACAATCCCTCAGTTATTAAACATGCCGTTGGGTTAAGAAACATTGGAGGATATGGGAGGTGAAGCTTTCTAACACTCGCCAAAAACAGGAAGGCTTGCATTTCTATGTTTACTCAATGAATGAATACTTTTGAATGTGAGTGGTGGTGAAATCAAGAGCATCAGCATCAACATAAACTTTGCCATAAAGTGAAGTGCTCTCCCATCCAACCAGAGAATAAAGAATGGAAAGGTTCGGAAATGAATCTGGTCAGAGGGCCACGAAGAGACCTCTTTGCTCTGAGCGTGTGTGTCAGTTTGTTTTATTTTCGTGGGAATCCAGGTCCCTGGCAGAGAGTAAGGAAGACTGAGCTGAGCAACCCAAAGGAGACCCCTAATCTCCTATAAAGCAGGCAGCTTTGGGGAGCAAGGGGGTCGGGGTGCTTAGCACAGTTTCATCTCTAGAAGAGATGAGTGAGGATGAGCTCATTTTATTTCTCAAGTACAGCTGAATTCAAAGGCTTGTGGAGGTTTGAAAACTCTTCACCAGGCCAAAAGCATTCTAGGTATTCATATTAATAACCTGTGTAGAGGTAGTGATACATATGCGAATTTACTTTCTTCACCCACATGGTTGAAATATTGGGTTGCAAGGACAGCTACGAGTCGTGTTTTTTAAATAAAAAGTTAATTGTTTAGAAGAGAAGATTTTCAGTCTTAAGAGGAACGTATGTTTATGACTGAATAGGGAAGCCAATAAAACTTTTCAAGAAATGGTAGCGTCTCCTCTTCTATTTCACCGAGACGAATGCACTGGTGGTCTCGGTGACACGACACACAGAGGAAGATGGAGAGACAGGAAAAGCTGCAAGGTCATCGAGTTCATCACTCTCACATTTCAGAAAGGGCTCCCACAGATCGTCCTGCCCGCGTACAACCTATATTAAGCACTATTTAAGACCCCGAAAAAGAGAGATGAGAAAACCTCTTATTCCAACTTCCGTTGTAGGGAAACCTTGTACCTAAATGAAACTCCTGAAGCTGTATCTATAATCTATGTCTCCTAATTTTCTCTTCAGCTAGCCATCCTATTTTTTATTATTAAAAAAAGAGTTAAAGAGGCCAACTATGCCTGAAAAGGCAGCTTTATTGTCTCCCTGCCCCCCCCCCACTTTTTTCTTAACCTTCTTTGGAGGGCCGGCTGTGCAGATTTCTCCCCTCCCCATGTTCCCTTTGACTTGAAAAACTTTAACTAATTAATTTTTAAAAATAATTCCTACACCCAACGTGGGGCTTGGATTCACAACCCCAAGATCAAGAATCAGCTCTTCCAAATGAGCCAGCCAGGTAACCCTCTTGAATTTAAAAAAAAAAAAAAAAAAAAAAAAAAAATATAAAAAAAAAAAAAAAAAAAAAAAAAAAAAAAAAAATATATATATATATATATATATATATAAACAGCTTTAGTGAAATATAATTCATATACCATAAAATTTACACTTTTAAAGTATACAATTCAGAGGCTTTTAGTACCTTCCCAGAATTGTGTGACCATTACGTAATCACTGCCTAACTCTGGAATTCTGTACCCACTAGCAATGACTCCCCATCTCCTTCCTCCCAGCCCCTGGCAAACTTGAATCCACTTTCTATCTCTATGGGTTTGCCAATTCTGGACTTTTTTTATAGAAATGGAATTATAAAATATATGGCCTTTTGTGTCTGGCTTCTTTCAATGGCATGTTTTCAAGGCAGGTTCATGTTGTAGAGTTCCTTTGCATGGCCAAATAATATTCCATCATTTGGCTGTACCTTGTTTTGTTGTTCTATCCACTGTCATGGTTATCCATTGGCTAGTCTGAAAAATGCTTCTGTGAACAATTGTATGCCACCTTCGTATGTTTTCAGTTCTCTTCAGTATATTCCTAGGAATGGATTTGCTGGGTCAAATGCTAACTCTCTGTTTACCTTTTTGAAGAATCTGAGGCTGTTTCCCAGAGTGGCTACATCATTTTACATTCCCACCGGCAATGTATGGGACTTTTTATTCTTTTCTTAACTCTTTCCAACTACTTAAATTTCATCTTTAGCTGTAGACTTTATAATTGAACACACCACCTCAAGAATGAGTCCAATTAAAAAGAGAGAACAAGCTGGTGGTATCTACATGCTGCTAGTTTACTGATGTCTCGAAAGATCCTTTGCTTTTAGATCTAAAGTAAAACACTGATGCTGATCTGCAGTCATTCCAGGGTCTATTGTGTCACACGAATATTTTTTCTGTTTTACTGATACATATTTCTTTAACTCACTAATTATAAAGATGTTTTTAAATTCAAATGTACCATGTCATATGTGTCCCTAGTTGATATTTTATCTTTTACTGGGAGTGTATTTAAACCTATGTAAGTATCAGCGCACTTGGATGGCTTAGATGGTTAACTGTCTGACTCTGGCTCAGGTCGTGATCTTGCGGTTGGTGGGTTCGAGCCCCGGATCGGACTCTGTGCTGACAGCTCAGAACCTGGAACCTGAATTGGATTCTGCGTCTCCCTCTCACTCTCTGCCCCTCCCTTGCTTGTGCTCAGTCTCTCTATGTCTCTCTCTCTCTCTCAATAATAAATAAACATTAAAAAAAATCCATTCAAGTATTTATGAAGCGCCTGCTTTGAGCCTGGCATTTCTAGCACTGGACAGACAGGTACAATACAGGCCTATTTCTTGCTCCTGAGTACCTTTCAGCCTTGGTGGGGACCTAAGAAATAAAGGAAAGCATGTATCTGAATACTCATTCCAATGACTGCTATAGGACTATGGTTCGCACACTATCAAATTCATGTGAGAATTTAAAAAACATATATGTCCCTCCACATTAATTGTTCTTATAAAACTTGTACATGATCATGGTAAAAAATGTGTAAACATCATGGAGAAATATAAAGTAAATATTCGTAGTCAAAATTCTGCCTCCCTAGGTTACTCTAACTCCAGTTCTTCCAGGGGGAGCTTGTTGAAAATGTAGATTACTATGGCCTTCCATCCCTAGGGGTTGATTCTGTAGAACTGGTTCATTGAACAAATGCTTCAGGAAACAGAACACAGGACAGATGGATGTGGGCCAAGATAATCAGGGAAATATCCTAGGACACCATGACTCAAGTGTACCGGTACGTGTTTCAATGTTGGCTATAAAGCTTTATGCAAGGGGAGTGATTTGTTATGAAATAAATTATATCTTGAACTAACAGGATGGAGATGTTTGGGGTACATGCAAAGGAGGAGAGGAGGGAAAGCAAGAGAGTAAGGAAGAGAGGTGCTAGAGAGAGGTGCTAGTGTTGAGCATGCAGCCGGAGAGCAGACAGGCTGGGGAAGGTGGGGGCGGGGAGCGGGTTGCTGGAGCTTGTGTAGAAAGGATAAAGGTGGACCGGAACAACAGAGTGTCCTTAAAAGCAAAATGAAGTGTGGGAGTCAGTGCAGATCGGTGAGAAAGAAAATGACATGGAGAGTGGCTGTCAATTCCATTTTCCGCACCCTTCCTCAGGCAGCATCGGGATGGGCTTCTATAATGGGAACAGACTGAAATAGCCACCTGCCTCTGTGGCTTTGAGCCTGGGGTTGCCAGTAAGTGCCATGGGGCCTCCCAAAGCCTGCTCTTCTTTCTTTCTTCCCTTCATTGCTCACTCCACTTTTGTTTTTCCTTCTCAGATTACTCCTCCTTGTACAACGTGCCCTCACTGGGTCTCCCATGCTCCTCCCCTCCCTTGGCCGGAACAAGAGTACCCTAACAAGTGATCAAAAGCTTTGGGCTATTCAGAGTAAATTGATCCCTTCTGTGAGAAGTGCTAACTCTCTGTTTTAATTACTCAAGGCTCCTTGCGGTGAACAGCGCATTCTCGAAAGGTCACATAAGCCTTCTCTTTCCCAGCTTTCTGGCTTCAGGAGTTACGGTGCAGCATTTTGCCTACCTTACAAGATATTTATAACAAGTACAGCTGCCCTCTATCTTGTGTATCTGCATCCCAGGATGAAAACATTACTTTCCCAAGGTCATTCTAGAGGAGAGCTACCTCTGGATTCAGAGAGATGTGGCAAACTCATTGTCAGTCTCAGCTCTGCCGGGTTAATGCCCCCAAGAGACCCCAAGTTCTAGATCAACAATGCTCCCTCCAAAAGACCTTTTTTAAATATCTTAAGCACTGAGTAAAGTAATTCTAAGATGGGGTGTGAAGCAGATTAACTTGACTCCTGCTGTTAAAGTAATGAACATTCCAAGCCAGATCATCCTTTCACTATTTTTAAGGGTTAAAGCTGAAACAAAATAAGCAACAATTTTAGGAGGCAGAAGTTGGAACAGATGCTTATGTATGTAGGAAAAAATATGCATTTAAAAGTTCCCTTTTTATTGGCTTCATTGCATAGTGTTTTACTGAAACCCTGAAGGTTTCATATTGTAAATGTTATTGATGAATTTGGTGAGATGAGAAATTTTATTTGTCCACCATAAATCATTAAAAAAAGTATAGTTAAGATGTCAACTTTCAAAACTGACATGTAAAACATATTGAAACACAATTATTTTCAAAAATATTTTAGTTCTCAAACCCTGAATAAATTCTGAGATCTGATTTGTGAGATGTGAGGTGTGTGTCTTCTGAGACAAATTATGCTCGGGGTGGGAGGGGGAGTCTCAATTGTTGAGGAATCACAAAGTTGTAGAGAAGAGCCCTTATCTCCAAAGTGTCCAAATCACTAAATGTGTAACTGTTATCTGTGATCAAACTAATCTATGCCGGAAAGAGTTATTTGCTTGCTGTGAGGTATAAAAGAAGACTCTGTATCTCTTGTTTCTTTCTTTCTTTCTTTAAAAATGTTTATTCATTTTTGAGAGACAGAGACAGAGCGCAGGTGGGGGAGGGGGCAGACAGAGAGAGACACACACACAGGTTTGGAAGCAGGCTCCAGGCTTGGAGCTGTCAGCACAGAGCCTGAAGCAGGGCTCTCACAAACCGCAAGATCATGACCTGAGCTGAAGTTGGACGCTTAACCGACTGAGCCACCCAGGTGCCCCTGTATCTCTTATTTCTTAAGAATCAGCAAATTATTTCCGGACAGAAATCTACCTCTTTAGAAGCGAGGGCCTCCCATCCTACAATGTGCTCTGGCTTGATGAGCCAGGGTCCAACACTTCAGCCAGTCTGCAGCCTTTTCCAAGGTCATTTTTTAGAACAGCATTCCAGGCTAATTTAGTATAGAATGGAAATTCTGTTTCCAGTTTCCTGCCATAAACCACAGTCATGTCTTGTCACAAAGTGCCACAGGACACTATTCTATCCCTCCACCCCTCAGCCTTTCCGTATATCCTGACTGATGTTACTATGCTTCACAGTAGAAGAGATTCCCTTTAAACCATCTTTCAAAGGTGATTTCCAGCCTCACTTTTCTCCAGGCCCTATTACCGTCCCTAAGAGGCCCAAATTTATGCCAGCTTTTAAGAAAGTGGCTCTTTCTGGATTCTTCCGAGTCTGAAAAGCTGGAAAGAAACACAGCTGCTGTCTATTTCAACCCCCTCACGTTGCATGTAAAGAAGGAGAGAAGCAAAGAGGTCAAATGGCATACTCCATCGTCTCCGCCTGCTGGTTATCCCTGTATATCACCTTACATAAGTGGTGTGAAAAGGAATTCAAACAGAATGGGCAGGTGATAAATCCACAAAGCAGAAACATTTCCATTTGCAAAGTGTCATGATGGTGATTCTTAAATAATCTCTCTCTCTC